ACGTTAGCAACAGCTAGCTAAGTTGTGTTAGCTAGCAACCGTTAGCTTAACTGACACTGGGCTGGGTTAACGAAATACTGTTCCGACCGTCGGGGCTGAGAGCCTGTTGGAGCGGAGACTCGTACTAAAAACACCGGCTGTTGGTGGTGTTTATGTGTGTAATGGTTTAAATGAATTACCTGCCATGACGAGACAGACAGTGGAGCTTTCCTCAGTCAGTCACGATCCTGCTTCCCACTCCCACGCGCTAGTTCGTGGGATCTGAACTTTTCTTCCGCTGTCTGTCTGTCTGCGCAAACCTGGATGTCAGGCGCTAAATTAACCGTAAAGCAGGGATTTTATATCTAATCCTCCTTCTCTTTCCCGCTAGTCTCGCTGTTGTTTCACTATGGGTGTCACTCACTCTCCCCCTCTGTCTCTCTTGCCGCATCCCACAAGTCACTTCTTCTTCCCCACCCCTCTCGAGTCTCTTTCCGCACGTGAACTAAAGGCTTTTTATAATGCGCGGGCACAATGAATGGCAGATGCACAAGCACGCGCGTGCACATCAGACTGGCCTTTTCAAGCATTTATAGACTATAGTACATACATTGTATTGAATAATTAAAGCTTGGAAAAATTATAAAAACACTAACAAATACCAATATAGTTATTGTTCTTGTTGAACATTTTGAGAAACAATGTGGCATCTTGGAGTAGGGTATCCTTAAATCTGACACATATATATATTTTTTAAACCCTCTACAACTCAGGGAATGCTTTTTGCTAAAGTTATCTAATGCACCACTCATTTTTGATCTAGGAGGACATGTAATAGTCAGTGAAAACTGTAAAGCACCTGTCTTTTAATAGCAGTATTAAAATAAACACCTTTTTACATCCTGAACATGTATTTCCATGGATGACTTTTGCATTCCAAAATAGGGCTTTTAGTCAGAATTTGCAAACTAGATATGTCTCCTTTCCTCACATTTATTATCCTGCATATTGTAAAGCAGCCACAGTCTGCTGGTGCTCTCTGGAGGGATTGAAAAGCTTTAAAAATGTCTCAGTGCCACAAACGCGAAGGTCTTCAGACGTGCGACTGATAGTTTCACCACCCACGTATATACTTCACATCTCTTTCAGAAGAAGGTTGCCCACGGAACAAAAGAGAAATACAGCATTAATGAGTTGCTAGGAAATGCAAGAATGTTAGAAATTCTATCAAATGGCCAGGACACAAGAAAAGAGGATGAATATTTCCTAACAATTAAGCTTGTTCAGTTGGAGCAGAGCTATCAAAACTGCCCGTGGTGCTGTCAATTTCCTCCCAGGCACTGCTTTCTGATACACTTCACCTGTCAGGGATTTCAAAACCCTTACTGTATATCAACAATTCCAAAGACAAGATCCCCCTCAATCTTCTTCAAACGACCAGCAGGAGTGGACCCCTCTGCTGACCCAGCACCTGCCTCTCATCCCAGAGGCTGAGAAACGACACAAAAACGTATTATTATAGGCATCTCTGTTTAGAGCCTCAGAATTTGCAATGGCCAGCTGTTAGCCTGAGATTCATAGGATGAACCACAAACCTTGCTGTCAGTTTTTCACCAAGACTACATGTCTTTGAGTTATGACTCATTGATGGCATGGGGAAGCCCATTTCTGCCAATTTGCCAATATAACATGTTCTTACAAAGAGATTTTGTCAAAAAACAAACAAAACAGACTTGGTATGAACTACAGTCGCTATTTTAAAATACTAAGTCATTCTTTTTATTTTTTTAAGTTTCTCATTAGTTTAACAAACCAGTCATTATTTTAAAACACTTAGTAATTTTTTCAAGATATAATGTCATTATCTCAAGATAACAAATCAATACATAGAAACACAATTTTTTGAGATACTAAATCATTATTTTAAGATAATTGTGATGAGATAGTTATTGTTTAAAGATATAATAAAGTATCTTATTATTTTTTAGATACTACAGTCGGCCATGTATAATAATAAGTTAAAGGTCACCTATTGTGCAAAATTCACTTTTTCATGTCTTTTATAAACATGTGTCCCCTCTGTGTAAAGAGATTCTGGAAGTTTCAGGAACAAAGACCCCCTCTCTTTTTGTCCTGATCCATTTATCTAAAAACCTGTCTGAAAATGAGCTGATCAGATTTTGGCCACTTTATGATGTCATAACGTTTTTTTGGCTTGTGTAACCATTAGCCAATCCCCCCCCCCCCCCCCACCTTATCACCTGAATCTCCTCCTAGAGCACCATTGTGTTCTTTTTAACCAAATATCTCTCAGAGGGGCGTGGGGAGTGGCTCCTTATTTTCATCTAAAGTAACAGACAGAGAATCAGCACTTTTGAAACAGGGCTGAAACAGAGGGGATTATGGGATGCTACAACGGGTGATCTGTTTGGTATTTCAGCCAAACACTTCAGAGACATGTTTTGTATATATCTGAGACCTGTAATATATTGATGGAAAACAGTATAATAGGGGACCTTTAAAACTATTGGGCCACCAGTAGGGGTTCGTGGGAAAACATGTTTCCTTGTGATTTGGTTGATGTGTCCACCTCATGTCCCCCGTCTCCAGTGTCCTGCTCTGCCTGTTGAGGCTGCACTTCCTGTCAGGCTGAATGCAGCTTCTGTTACTGTCCGAAACAGCACGGCACAAAAACAAGACTTTTTTTGTTGCGATGTTTTCATCCATGACTGGAGCCTTTCAATGTGTGCATGCTGCTAAATTTAGAAACTAGTTGACGAGACAATGCACATCAGTGACACTCATTTGTTTTTATAGCATCTGTTAATGCAGGGCAACATGTGTTTTCCATGAATCTGTTGTCAACATATTGTCACCAAAGACAGAAAATAATTGTTTCTATTGCCCTAATAGGACATATTATCGTATTATATCATTATATTGTCAATCACTTTACAACTGCGTCGTTACCATAGCATACATTCATTATGTTTAATGTTATCAAAAGAAGGAAAAAGAGGAAAAGTGAGACTGTACTTAATGGATACTTTTTTACATTATTTAAATCAATTGTCATGCTAAGTTATATAAGCTTATAATGCTACTCTGTGAATGCCTTTCTTGTTCAGTCATTAATGGTCTCATAATTGTCTAGTAAGTATGTCAGTAAAGATGAACACAAATGACCCACTGTTACTGTCACTGTGTCTTTTGTCCACCAGAGGGCAACCAAGATTTGAAAATGTGGGTTTACAGTAAGATACAGGGCACTATGCTAATGGGGCCCTATTGTGCTCATTTTCAGGTTTCATATTTGTATTTTGTGTCTCTACTGTGACATGTTTACATGCTTTAGTGTTCAAAAAGCTCTTTATTGTTCTGATGCGGCCTGTGCTGCAGCACCTCTTTTCACCCTCTGTCTGAAACCAGAGCCCAGTCTGCTCTGATTGGTTAGCTGGCCAGCTCTGTTGTGATTGATCAACCGCTTAGAGTTGTCACAACAATAGGAGCTAGCCAATAGCAGCTCAAGTGTTACATGATGTCATTATGTCACGGAAGGAGCCCAATTAAAAGGGTGAAAATAACTTTATGTTACTTTCTGTAATGTTGGCCAACACCAGTCGGTGTCCTCAATGACTGGGGCTCCTACATTTTCAGACATCTTAATACAAATAAATGGTATTCTTAGGGGAAGTAGTGTCACAGAAGGCCGATCAACAAGACAGACAAAACACAAAATAAAAAGTTCAACAGGGTAAAAAGCCTAGGATTTAATAGCATTCTGACATGTATGGACATCTGATTTCTCTTTTATCCTTGATGTGTATTGATGGGATTGTACGATACAAACTAATAAATTATGTCAGGGGCTGTGTTTGCTAACACTATAGTGCACTCTGCCTGAGTTAAAGGTGGGGTAGGTAATTTTGGAGAAACCAGCTCGAGTGCGCTAGAATTTGAAAATACATAGCCGGAACAAATCTGCCACTTCCTTACAGAGCCCCTCCTCCAACACACACGAACGTGCACATGACCAATGAGGGCACGAGATAAGTTTGTGCACAGGTGGAAAGCTGACAGGCAGGTAGGCCATCCAGTTATTTTAGCCGGGCCGGCTCAGATGATTGGTCGTGTTTTTTACAGTACTACGGCTTCCACAGATGACATTTTTTTAATGGATTTTTTGTCAAAGCACTTAAGATATTCATTGCTATCGGGATGTTAAGAGCATTCCATGGAATATAACAAAAAGTGTATCTCGAGCCGGTTTCTCAAACTTACCTACCCCACCTTTAATCACATAAATGAACAATGGAAAATATGGAATATTAACAGGATGAAACCATAACTTGCTCCAGTGTTTGCTTGACAATTGAACACCTGCAGCAGTCACCACCTATAGCTAGCACCTGTTGGCCACAGTACTTAATAGATATTAAAATACGCTCTTTTTCTAAAAAAACATGTTCATCTTATACACCAAGGAGTGCCTTTGTACCTTTGACCCTAAGTTGAAAAACAATGATTATGCACATTCTCCATTACAGTAAGTGTGTTAACCAGACTGTAAAGAAGGAACAAGGTGTGCCCAGTGAGCATCTGTGGGTTAATGGGTGCAGTAATCTTCTATACATCAGTAGTACACCAGGTAGGGGCAGTGTTGGGCAAAGATGTACTCTGTTGGAAACCGGAAGTGCAGACCCTAGTCTGACAACCCCTGCAAAAAAAATCAAAATCAAATATTTTTCTATTTTTTTATTGAGTAATGGTTTGGCATCACTAAAGCAAAAGGAAGTTGAGTGAATGTATAACCTATTAATACATGTCGAAAAAAACATGGACTCTTTGTAATCCGATTCAAAGAGCAAAACCCTCACCTTTATGACGCATGAAGTAAAATCATTGCAGACAAGCTTATTATTCATAGTCTCGATAGATTGCGGGACAAAAATGATTTATTTAGATTGATAAAGTCACACGTGTGCATGTATGGGCCACCCCCTCTCTGCAGCGAGCGGTGCAGGGGAGGGTCATAACGGGGAGTGTCCCGGGCCAGAGGCATAAACAGCGGCTCATCGCTCCGCAGCCCGCCGACTCGACGCCTCTCTGCTCCCGCTGCAGCTAGAAGCGCTCACCGCGGCTCTCTCAGGTCCAAACCGATCACAACCCACACTTTTCAGGTACGTTTAACCTCTCTTACTTCCACGAAACTATACAGCCTGTTAAGCACAGATTGCAGGACGCTGATTTAATGCCTTGATTACAGCATTATTCAACCGTTACTTTCCACGTAGGCTGGAACAAAGATTTGAGAGGGGAAGGAAAGGGAGTACATTACTTCTTCTTGGTTGTACAAAGGGTTTACTTTAACATGTTTGTCAAGCCCACTTAAAGTAGTGTAAACCCTGCTTTTATTGTCAAAAGTGCAATGCAGTTGCCTCCATATATGGACAGCAGTGGAAAACCTGGATGATGATTACAAATGTTGAGTGGGCCTTAACTGCACATTCTTCCTGAAAGTGACGTCACCTTGCCATGATGGTGAACCCAAAGCAACATAAACATGTTATTATGCTGCATTACATGAAAAAAGTCACTTGTTTGAGCTTCTGAGTATAAAACCTGTGAGATTTCCTCAGCAGCTGTTTGCTCATCTTTATTTAAGGATAGCTGTGGTTGCCATAGAAACCCACAACCAAATAGAGGAACTGAGGAAGTTAATCACAGCATCCTGCAACATGTGGTTATAGGGACGTGCGTCAGACAGTGTACTGTCTGTCTACACTGTAGAGTGTATGTGTGAGAGATAAAGACAGAGTTTTGTCAGCCAATCAGGAAGCGCTGTTTCAGATCAGCGGGACAGAGATTAGGGGATCCTGAACACAAGCCTCTTATAACAGCTGTTTGCATTTTTCTGTCTACGATTGCAGGACAGCTGGATGGTGTGGATGTTTGTATGTGCACACATTCTCCATATTCAAGTGTAGGTCTTGAATCACCTTTTCTAGATTAAAAACTATAAAACACTGTTTGTGATCTCACCAAAAGGTTTCTTTGAGACATTTTTCATCCACTGGCAACAGAAATCTAAATGTAGTGTCCTTTCCTGCCATCACAGCGTCATTAGCTTTTTTACTGTAAACAGAAGTTATATTTACATCTCTTGACAAGCATCCTCTCATGGTTTTTGCAGTCATATTAACTGCCCTCTCTCAGTAGCAATAGTGGAGCAAGCATGACAAACAAACCCTTCCCTAGGAAGTCGATGGAAATGTGACCTTACACGCCCAGTAAAAATTGATTTGGTGATTTGGAAGTCAGAAAATGTCCAGTTTAAAAATGGGGAACCTATATTATACTATATGTATCATTGTTCTAGCATTTAAATTACTGTATTTCAATACATAAGTAAAGCACATCCTAACTTTAATGACAGATTTTTCGAACAATGGAGGCAGTCGTTCCCTTACGTTACCCACAAAGTTTCAGTAGACCTAACCTAACCATATCTCTTAAGCATTGGGGTGGCAACCAGAAAATGCTCATATGAAAAATATGAAGGAAACAGTTACATGATTGTTGGGTGGGGCATTCACAAAAATATCTCAAATATTTCTTTCTTCAAGCCTTAAAGTGACATGCGGGGATTTTCCTGAAAATCAATGTTACTCATACACAAATTACCCCTTTCATCGTCACTAATGACCCACTGGAAGCGTGTATCTGTATTTGCAGAGACCCAGCTGCCTTCTGACTGGATTTTCTTTATTCAATTTCATTCTGCTCTGTCTGGGTCGATTCTCAGTGTCAAAGTCTGAACAAAGCTTGGCAACCAGGTGCCAGATCGGAAGCATTAATCTAATAGGAAGCTATATGACAGACACCGTGACTGACAAAACGCAAATAAAGTGAGGCAAAACAGCCAAATAATACAAACTGTTTATTATGTAAGGAAATATTCAAGGAAAAATAGGCACTCTGAAGTTTCTCCCTCCTCTATAAATGAACTATATATCTTTTATAAGGTCGATTATATTCCCTTTTTCATCAATGAACGTTTTTTCAAAGCAAGAGAGTGAAAGATACCCTCAATCCAGATTTGTTAGCGCCTTTAATATCCTCTAATTGAGAGCAACTTTAAAAATCTCTTTTAAAACAACATTAGAAGAGAAGAAGTTAGCAACAGAGAACATAACTTGTTCAAAAGGTATTTGAAAGACAAAGCATTTCATCATTTCCCCATTGACTTCTTTATGTTCCATATTGATGTACAAAAGGGCTACACCTCTGAAATAAAACACACATGGTATCTTCTAGCTGCTTTGCAATCTAGGCCATTTGAGTGTACATGCTATGATTAATTTTGCAATAAAACTGGTTTGAGATAGATGGTTCCCTCTCATATCCTTTAATAACCATCCATATATGAGCTTGGTTATTTACTCCTAGTCATAAACAGCCATTTTGATTGTCTTTGTCTTACACTGTGCAAACAGAGGAGAGGGAAGCAGAGTGTGATCAGTTCAGATCTGCAGGACAGCTGCTCCCTGCAGAGTGGCATGAGTGGAGAAAATGAGTCATCGAGAATCCTTTCTGAAAGAGAAATTCCTTCTTTTCTTTTTTTACGCAGAAACTTAGATTACAAACTATTATGGTCTTGTTTTTGAAGTTGGACACCAGCAGACAAATCACATGAGATGAAATAATAAATAATCTGACTCCACTTGTGCTTTCTGCACAGAGGATCGAGTTCTGAGGCCTCAAGGGGAAGGCAGACACAAAAGAGAGGCTGGTAAATATGGGGGAGGGGACCACATAGCTGAGGTTGGAATGACAGACTCACTCTATGATTATTTGGAGGCGAGGGAGGGGGGGCAAAAAGCCTGCAGCGGGGGTGCAAAAACTCGATGAATCCCTCCGGCTCTGCAGAGCGGGCCTGAAGACACCATATGTTTTTCCCAGCACGCCTGAAGAGAAGCACTCTCCAACAGTCATGTGACCTGTTCTATTTTGGCTTGAGCTGTGTGTGTGTTGAGTCAAACCACCCCTCCCTGAGTCACTTTATCCAACAGGGAACTACCAAAAACATTCATAGTTTATATAGTTTAAGTCAGCTTCTTATTCGTACATTTTTGTTTTAGATCTAATTCTCTAACCTTCTCCCACATTCTTGTAAGATTTATTTTTGATCTACACCTTTTGTCACAGCTGTTATCATATTTGTAATACTGGCTTTGAGTTTTCAAAAGTCTGAGGGGAATCAGATGCTCAGTATCCCTTCTGATGTGACATGCAGTATCAAAGTGTAGGAGAAAACAGCTCTGATGTGAGGCGACAGATGAAACATTTCTCTCCGTTACAGGGGAAGATCACAGTCAAAGGCAGTCAAACTTATATAGAAACTAAAAAGCCTTCAGAATAAGAAGGTATCATTTCGGTAAAATGAGTAGAGGTATGTGTTGGCCGCTGTTGAAGTAAGAGACATGAATGGGTACATTTGTCAAGAAATGTAAACCAGTAGCCTTTAATATGCCCTAATTTCTTACCCTCCGCTACCGGCCTCTTAAACAAGGCCCGGCCCCCCCACTGACACTTTACCTCAGCCAAAACGTAGTCTCTATATGCATTACATTAATGCACACAATGTTCAATACTGCTTACTGCACATATTCTTATTTCATAGTTTATATTCTATAATTCATTACATTATATTTCGCTGTAAATTACTGCTTTATTTTATTGCTATTTAACTATATTTTATTACAGTGTCCTTAAAGAATTGTTTTATATGGAGATTCTTTGTTTTATATTTTATGTATGCACCACGACATCAAGTCAAATTCCTCGTATGTGTGAACCTACCTGGCAATAAACCCGTTTCTGATTCTGATATGTTCCCTTCAGGGACTTGGTATCCAATTAAACTTCATGTCTGTAATAATGATGATCCCCAAGCTCGGCTCACATTTTGCCCACAAGCTGTTTTCATATCTCTGGGTGTGTCACTTTAAGTTAATGAATGGCTGTATATCATCTAAAGCAGAAGTTGTTACCAGTTGTTTGGAAACATAAATCATAAAATGTTATTGTATTCTTCTGTTGTGTTCCCTGCTGTTTTCAGGAAGTAGCAGTTTGGAGGATGTAGTCCTATTTCACCTCTTTTGTTTTGTATGCTAAGCTAGGCTAATTAGTTCCTCATTGTAGCTCTTTGGTAACCAACAAATTAGTGATATCAATCTTCTCATGGGACTATCTGGGGATAAAAGTATTTTTCTACGAACTTGAGCTGTTCCTCTAACTTAATAACGATAACTGGGCGCCTTGTAGCAGACATCTGTGCCGAGATATCATGAATCAGTTCCACTAAATGACAGACTTTTTATCTTATTAAATATCAGTCCACTTTGTCCTGTGGATGAAAAGACATCCACAGGAACTTTCTTTGATTGCTCTTTGATAAACACGTCTCTTATAAAAACTGCAATGCATGGTCTAATATGTCGGGATATGCCGATATTATTTAGGTCAGGTTAGGAGCATTATTTGACATAAATACAGTGCTTTTGTAATGTCCATATAAATTGGGGTTTTCAATACAGTTTGTGAAATGTGGTCTCTTGTCTGTTATGGTCACCTCCTTACAATTATCCAACAGTTTTCAAGGGTGGGTTTGAGATTCTTGCCCAAAAGCCTTTCCCACATTTTTGGTTGAAAAGGAGAAACATGCCTACTTTTAAACACTATGAAAGACTTGGAAACCAACAGATTTTTGTGTACGCTCAAATATTGCGACACAGACCTTTTGGAGACAGTGGTTGAAGGACTGAAAGAAGGAGTCTGTTTGTGCATCTGAACAAGTCCACCACAGTACCCTATTTTGACGGAATATTGATGGAATCTTCATTTTCATAAGTCATTAACCAACGACCAGATAGTTGTTTTTTTGCAATTAGGCTTGACAAATTAGGGATGCCACATTGCTAACTCTCCCCCCCGAGCTTTGTTGAACCTTCCTGTGTGAGGTTTGCTGTCTGACTTTTGTAGCATTACAGCTTCTCCAGGCTGGAAATATCACCAGACTACTTTAGAGCCACTGTAGGAATCGCCCAGAAGTCTCACAACACAGGCGCTCAGTGTCATGGAAGTTCAGACGGCTCCTGACCTGGTATGACTCCAGGTTAACCCGCCGTTTTGGCTACTTTTCCTGTGTTTTTGTCTGCATAATTGCAATTTTTATAAAGGAATTAGTAAAATGTTTCATTATCAGACACCTGAATATATTCCTTCCTTTTCCTTACAATGTCAGATATCTATCCAAATAAGCCACATGTGCTGACACCGGGACAAAAACCTCTAAAGTTAACTGAAAATTGTTCTTTTCCACAATTATCCACTTTACTTTTCCATGCTAAAACATTCCTTCGAAGTTCTGCTCAGAGCGTCTGGCTGTTACATAAAAGGAGAGCAGAAACATGGGGAAATAGGAACCCCAAAATTGTTGGTCTTGTTACTTGAATTTGGATCCACTTCCAGGGTCACGATCAGATTCCTGCCGTGTTTGTGGGCAGACGGCCGCCTAAAAGAATGGGAGATTCTTGTTAGTCGTGCAAATTGAGGGGCAGCGTGTCCAAGCAGCGTTCCTGTGGAAAACTACATTCTGTGTTCATTTGGAACTCCATGACCTGAACAGGTTTTTAAGGTGGACACTGAGGGCTGGAATGTCGTATAAGAACATAATTGGATTAAATTAGCAAGATAAAGTAGAAACGCAGCATAAAAGCTCAAAGGAGTCCTTTTCAGAGAGGTCAGGCTCTGAATTGAGAACAGAGCTCGATTCAGAGGTGTTTGCGCTCTCTCTGCAAGTTAAAGGCACTTTGTAAGTTAGAGTTTATTGTTAAAGAATGAAGTTATTGTATCGTTAAAGAGTAATCTAGCAAGTACATGTACATTTTTAAAACGTTGCCAAACCACTGAAACTTCCTTTGGTATGCCGTCTTTAATAAAAGGGGCCTATTCTGCTCATTTTCAGGTTCTTATTTGTATTTAGTTCCTCTACCGTGACATGTTTCCCTGCTTTGATGTTCAAAAAGCTCTTTGTTTTTCTCATACTGCCTGTGCTGCAGCACCTCTTTTCACCCTCTGTCTGAAACCAGAGCCCAGGCTGCTCTGATTGGTTAGCTGTCTGGCTCGGTTGTGATAGGTCAACCGCTTTGAGATGTACCGCCCCTTAGCTTCACGTACAGTTTGTTGTGGAGCACTAACCAATAGAAACGTGTGTGTTACATAGTGACTTTGTGATTTTAGCCTTTACAGACCAATTACAGTACATGCACAAAAACCTATAACACACTACAGGAGAGGGAAACCCCCATAAAGAATAATAGGACCCCTTTAAGAAAATATAAACATAACAAACAATTTAAGACTGTGTGCCGCATCAAAAGCCGAAACTTAAATATAATCGGTCCTTTGAATTTGTGAAACATGTCCAACCCAACAGAATCAGCTGATTACATCGTTGTTCATTCATTAACTGTGGTTCTGTTTCCAGACGGCCATAACAAAGATTTTAACAGGATGCTCAACTCCCAATGTAAAAATCTCAAACATCCACACATGCTAGACTATGGGGCAAGTGGCTGTAATCCAATGCAACACACACACACACACACACACACACACACACACACACACACACACACACACACACACACACACACACACACACACACACACACACACACACACACACACACACCACACACACACACACACACACACACACACACACACACACACACACACACACACACACACACCCCCCCCCCCCCCCCCCCCCCCCCCCCCTCCCTACTTGAAACACTGCATGTCCTTTATGCTCTCAGATATGGCTGAAGTGTATGGTATGTGTGTGCATGGATGCTCAGGAGGTGTTCTGACTGGGATGAGACAGCTGTCGGACTGCTGAAGAGTCTAGGGTGTTACGACCCTGGTCATTTGTGTGTAGATATTTTTCCCTCCTCCTGTGTCTGTGAGTGTGTGTGTGTGTGTGAGTGAGCAAGCTGCCTTCAACCTGCTGATTGGTCCACCTGAAGAAACAGGGGCATTTTAGCTGCAGCCATGCAGTTTCTCTGCCCTCTCTCTGACTCGACTTCTCCTACACACTTGCGTATTGAGATATCTGTCCTGTTGTGCTGTGTGTGTATACTTATACCGTATACCAGTCCTTTTGCTTGTTGTGAAATCTTAGGAAGATAAACTAAGTTAACCTGTCTTGTAAGACACGTTTTGTTTTGTTTAGGAGTGAGAAACCCTCTTTTTGTTTGAACCTTTTTCTCCTGTTTACTGGTAAGAGTAGGTAAGAAACCTGTATTTTATTTGTTTTGTTAGGCAAGTTTAAGGAAACTCTGTAAAGACGTTGTTTGTTATGTAGGGGTTGTCTCACCTCTTTTTGAGTTATTAAATCTCAAAAAGCTGATTTCCTGTGTCGTTTACCATTTCTTGGGAGTGGGAAGAGTGGGGAGAGGGCAATTTTATGCTGCGCCTAGGTTCCCCTAGACCTGGGCGTAACATAGGGCTTTACTGTATATACTATGAGACCTTAGAGACATGGGTAACACATTTAAAGGTGGGGTAGGTAATTTTGGAGAAACCAGCTTGAGTGCGCTAGATTTTGAAAATACACAGCCGGAAAAAATCTGCCACTTCCTTACAGAGCCCCTCCTCCAACACACACGAACGCGCACATGACCAATGAGGGCACGAGATAAGTTTGTGCCCCGATGGAAGGCTGACAGGCAGGTAGGCCATCCAGTTATTTTAGCCGGGCCGGCTAAAATGATTGGTCGTGCTTTTTACAGTACTACGGCTTCCACAGATTACATTTTTGTATGGATTTTTTGTCAAAGCACTTAAGATATTCATTGCTATCGGGATGTTAAGAGCATTCCATGGAATACAACAAAAAGTGTATCTCGAGCCGGTTTCTCAAACTTACCTACCCCACCTTTAAGAAAAAAATAAATCAAGATTACGGTGATAGCAGATTTATTTTTCTTATCTCCAACCCCATGTACTGTTTTGTGATTGCATGCTTGAAGTAAAAACAGAGCAGAAAAGTCGAGTTATACACATATTTTCCTATATACTGTATACATATATTTTCACACACAGGTTTCTTTTGCCAGTTATGACTACGCCTGAGTCAGAATTTCCTCTTCCTGCTCACATGAGGAAACACCCTAAGCACAGGGCATCGGTGACTCACCCTGCTGTACCATTAATATCTAACTATAACCCTAAATGTTATCTTTGTATCCATGGTAACACCTCAGCCTTAAAGGGAGTGGCTTTCCAAAACAGATGTCTCACACATAGGGTTTTCTAGTCTTACTTATAAAAGGTTATTTTCTATGGCTCTTATCTCTGCAGTATTTGACCGCTGCATGTTGAGGAGAGTATAGAAGCTAAATCTGAGCGGTGTGATTTCCCAGCAGGCAACATGGCAGTGCACCCAGAGTTCGATCGCGCCGGGAAGAATACGGGCCTCCAGGTGTGGAGGGTGGAGAACTTCGACCTGGTGCCCGTTCCCGAAAAGCTGTACGGGGGATTTTACACCGGAGACGCCTACCTCATCCTCAACACCATCAAGCAACGCTCCGGGCATCTGCAGTACGACCTGCACTTCTGGCTGGGTGAGAACAGGAAGACGGATATTATGATCAGAGAGAAATAAGCAGAAGGGAATATCCACTTTTAAAATATGTTCATTTATTATCCAGGAGTGGACATTAGCTTATTGTTTTCTCTTGTCCCCTTAGGATATCCGTAGAAAACGTTTTCCACGTCTATGTCACAGATATAACACATTGAAAGAAAAAATCAACTCAATTATTTAAGCAAGAAGCATTTATAAATTCCCTTTTTCCATTTTGGTATCAGACAATTTGCATGTTCTGCTCTGTGGATGAGAAGCGAAAAGCCTTCTGTCCTTACATTTGTAAATAACAGATGACACTGTACGTTAACAGGCAGATCTGTGTTTACTGCTGCTGTTGTGTTTTATGTTTCTGCTGCGTCTCATCCTGCTTGATTTGATCAGCATCTGAAACTGTGACAGGCCTTATTTCCTGGAACAGATGTGCGCTGTGATTGTACTTGAAAGGCTTACATGGCAAACACTTTGTCAACGATCTCAAACCTAATGTAGTGCACATGATGTTTTCATTTCAGTACAAGGCTTTTTTTCTAGACCATTTTGCACCATTCAGCACACACACACAAATACTCAGAGGTGGAAGAAGTACTCAAATGTGTTGTGGTACTAAAGTAGCAATACTAAATTGTAAAAATGCTCTGTTGCAGGTAAAAGTACTGCATTCAAAATCATACTTAAGTAAAAAAGAAATTATCAAAACAGACTCAAGTACAAAGAGTAAATGAACTCATTATGATTAATAGCCTATTTTAGAATCATATATATATCCATAAATACCTGTATTTTGACTATTGACGCATTATCTTTTGATATATATTGATGCATGTGTTCATCACAGCTGGTACTTTGTACTCTGGAATAGCAGAAGCTGAGTCGTGCCTTTTTATATTGATTTCACGTCTTTTTAGTCAATTGGACTGATCATTGCAAAGCTTTTACCAACAAACACGATGTGATGTAACCCACCTCTATGCTGCTGAACACAAACACCTGTTGTTGCATGTATAAATATGTGTGACTCATTTGGAGAAGGACCTCATCAAACACAAAATGAGACTCTGGGTAGAGCTACAGTACAAAATGAAATGATTAATATGGAGAACATCTGTGGTTCCTCTGGTGCAGGTGACTTCTGCACCCAGGATGAGAGGGGCTCGGCGGCCATCTTTACGGTCCAAATGGACGACTTCCTGGGGGGGTCGCCTATCCAGTACCGCGAGGTGCAGGGACACGAGTCCAAAACCTTTCTTGGCTACTTCAAGTCTGGACTCAAATACATGGTAAACGTCATGTTGATAGCTGTAAAATATCTACATACAAGGACAAAATCCTTTTCTTTGCTTTTGTTTTAAACCTAGGAACGTGTATAGGTAATGATATATGGGTAGTGGGATTTGTGCCTGTTTAATGATAATGTTGGGGTTATATTTCATCATATTCTAACATAATTAAATATTTCGTAAAATACATTTGTTTTGTTAAGGTTGGATGAACTTTTATTAATTGTAATAATTTTAGATAATTCTTCTATAAACTAAATATTGTCACTTTACCTTTTATACATGGTTTACACCTATATATATTTTTTTGATATATTTATTAATTTGCCATCACTGTATAATTAATATTACTTTGATATTATGTTAATGGTTCTCTTTTCTAAAAGGCTGGTATTTTACCTTGAAAATACATCTCTTACCTTTCAGAAAGGGGGCGTGGCTTCTGGGTTCAAGCACGTGGTCACCAACGAGGTGGTCATGCAGCGGGTGCTCCAGGTCAAAGGCCGCCGTGTCGTCCGGGCAACCGAGGTGGCGGTCAGCTGGGACAGCTTCAACCAGGGAGACTGCTTCCTCTTGGACCTCGGGGCTGTGAGTCACTCTGAAGCAAATCATTATTAAATATAATTACTGTAATACTGCTGAGAGTAGACATACAGTGCATTGCCAACATGTTGTGTTGAGCAAATAGAAGCAAAGCATTATGGGTAATCTTTATTCGGGTTCCACTTTATTGACCTTCCTTGCATCTGCTCCTCTTCTGCAGGAGATCTACCAGTGGTGCGGCTCCCAGAGCAACCGCTTCGAGAAGCTGAAGGCCACGCAGGTCGCCAAGGGTATCCGTGACAACGAGCGCAATGGGAGGGCCCGGGTTTACGTGTGTGACGAGGGGGTGGAGAGGGAGAAGATGTTGGAGGTGAAAAGAGCGAATCATGAGAAAATATAAAGTCTAAAAGCTGAGTTCTGTGTTAAACTGCCCGCTGCCGTCCTCAGGTGTTGGGGCCCAAACCAGAGCTGCCTCCTGGAGCCTCTGATGACATCAAGGCTGACGCTTCAAACAGGAAGAGGGCCAAACTCTACAAGGTGACCCCCCCCCCCCCCCTGTACACACACGCTATCTCTTTCCCTTTAATATATTATGAAGGGCTTATTCTTTTCCGTTTCAATTTGAAATACAAATCTGTGAATGTTACTTTTTAATTAAAAAAGAAACACAATAAATCGGGAGGAAATATTTTTACGATGCAGGATAATTAAAATGTTCTCCGCTGTTTGTACAGATATAGTGATAAAATAAAACAGTAATACAAAACGACGGAAAATGTAATGTTAAAGTTTGATTTAAAGCAAACACATTTTCCACCATTTATTGTCTTTTGTTTTTACTAAAGCACCCTTGGTTTGCAATTTGTACATATTCAATGATCAAGTCCTTATTGCAGCAAGAAGACGCCAATTTGTACCATACAGTAACTACAGTATAGGGAGCAGGAAACAAAAAGTTAATCAAATACACATTCACATTTCCTTGATTCTGATTCTGATTCTTAACCAATCTTGATTTCAAATTCTGGGTACTTTCAGTGAGAAATTAAAAGCCAACACCGATAACCACCTCTCTTGTTCAACCCCTCTTCCTGCAGGTGTCCAATGCCAGCGGAGGGATGACCATCGCCCTGGTGGCAGCAGAGAACCCGTTCGCTCAGAGTGCGCTGGACTCCGGAGACTGCTTCATTCTGGACCACGGCTCTAACGGCAAGATCTTCGTCTGGAAAGGTGAGAGCAAGAGGCTGCAGTGGGATCCCCTTATATTTGTTTATATAAACCCTTTCTACTAATATATCAATAACCTCAAGAAGAATACAAAGAATCATTTGATATTCAGGGAAACACTCTCATTAGCTAGACCTGCCTGTAAGCTAACTAGTAAGCTAGTCAGGAGACTGTTGGCTAGTCGAGTCACATCCACAGTTAGATCATCATGCAAATCAGAAAGTATTCCTGATGACGGTCAGTATGTTGTCTAAGTTTGATATCCTTATCACTGCCATCTTTTCTCTTCCTCCCAGGCAAAGACGCCAACATGGACGAGCGAAAGGAGGCCATGAAAGCAGCGGACGAGTTCATCAAGAAGATGGGTTACCCCAAACACACTCAGGTGCAGATCCTGCCAGAGATGGGTGAGACGCCGCTCTTCAAGCAGTTCTTCAAGAACTGGAGGGACAGGGACCAGACCGAGGGCCTGGGCATCGCCTACATCGCCAACAGTATCGCCAGGATCGAGAAGGTGGACTTCGACGCAGCCAGTCTGCACGACTCCCCCGCCATGGCCGCCCAGCACGGCATGGTGGACAACGGTGACGGAGAGAAAAAGGTGAGAGGGCGGAGGGTGCTCGTCTGTTATACCTTGTACTGCTGTAATGACCGTTGAAACCATGCCCGCTTAGATACTTAACCCCAGTTTTCTTCCGATGGCATGGCCAAAGGTGTGTGAATGTTAGTTTCCTTTAGAAGATGGCACCTTGTA